CTGGAAAGGCACAAAGATAGGAGGTGGAAAGTGAAGGTCACACCAGTTACGTGTTGCAACTCATTTTAGTAGTTTCTAGGTGCAAAACGATTCAAAGGAAGTCCCTCCGTGGCGATCACACCCAGTTTCATTCCTAAACAAATTTTCATATTCAAGAGACAAAAACAAACCATCTCCAAGCGACGATGAACTCTTGGTCGCTGGACGACTCACGATCGGACTGCATCCGAATTTCCTGTTTCTTCATTGTTTTTCGAAAGTTGGTGAAGAGACAGAGGCAGACAGAGACAACTCGATCCCCCAATTCAATCCGTTGAAGGTTTCTCACAATCCTCCGATGCATTCCGCACCCACAAATCAATGCAACAACATCATAGAAAATCGGATTTACTGAAGGACATTCTCCTCCCCCATCCTCCCGTCACCATGGAGCCACTGATGAACCACCCATCACGTCATCCACGATGCCTCTCACCCCAATAGGAACCTCCACCTTCCCTTATCCGCTCTTATCTTTCCCCTGTGAAGTCATTCCAGCTCGGGAAGCGAGGCGGAGAGGATGTTCCTTTCAACGTCGCAATTCGATCGGCTGCTAGGTGCGTTTTCCTCCTTTTCACCCCCGTTTTTCTTCCCCCATTCCGCGTGATGATCGTGGTTTTTCTACAGACAAGGCCACGAGCCTCCTGCTGCTCGAGGCAGACCTGGAAGCGACGCTAAGGCTCTGCGACTCCATCCGACAGGGGGACACACAGTCGGTTCATCGATTCCTGAGGGTTTCGTGATTATTTCGTGATTGTTTCGTGAGCGTCATTCGATTATTGCAGGCCCAAGTATGCCCTGAATGCTCTCAAGAAGAAGCTGTACGACAAGAATCCTCACGTGCAGCTCTTCTCTCTGCAGGTGAGACGGCTCTCCTCATCTTAATTAGTACATTTATTTCATCCTCGCATCGATTTACCGGTATTACCGGTAACGATATCATTTAAATAAATAAGTAAAAAACTGATCCGAGAACGATCGAACGCACAGGTGTTAGAATCCTGGATGAAGAATTGCGGCGGACCGATCCACGAAGAAGTCGTGACTCGGGCGTTCATGGACGAGCTGCAGGAATACATCCACGGCTCCAACAACGAGAAGGTCCGATCCAAAATCCTGGAACTCGTCCAGGTCTGGGCCTACGCGTTCAGGAACGAGCCCCGCTACGAGATCGTCCAGGTTCGTCTGCACGGAAGCCTCCGACGCACGTCTGACGAACGTCTGATGCACGTCTGATGCGTGTTCGCAGGACAGAGTGTTCGCACTGAAAGCGCAGGGCCTCTCCTTCCCGACGCTGAAAGAGAGCGACGCGATGTTCTCCTCCTCCACCGCACCCGAGTGGGTGGACGGCGAACGCTGCCACCGCTGCCGCGACTCCTTCTCCCTCGTGCGACGAAAGGTTCCCCTCG